AGAAATTTAATGTTTGCTCACTGCTCTAATTCAAGCTCCAACATTTTCACACGCACACAAAAACATTTAACAACAATAATGAACACCTCTTAGCAAGACACAGCCACAGGTCAACACGAACACAGTTGTGGGACACTGATATACTAAGGTTATGAAACCTTACCGAGTTGTTTGTATAGTGCTGCCATTGTAAACACATGGTGGCAAATTCGTGAACCTAATTGTATGGGGAAGGACCCTCTCTCAAAAGAGGGTCTTTTGACCCACAATAAGATTGGAATCTTGCCTTGGGCAGGTGAAAAAGGACTGGAGGAGGTCAAAGAGAGAGATTGTGTTTCCTGAGGTCTAAAGGGCCTCAACATTATGACAAAAGACTGTACAAGGGCTCTGGGAGTTATGAGCCAGGAACTGTGGACAAAACATCAGTGTCTATAACAGCACAGTGCTTTGATGTCTTAAGATTAAATAGGTCTCGTACTGTCTCTTGGTTTCTCTCTCATGTATACTGTTCATGGGTTGTATTTACACAATGTGTCTTATCAGTTTGATTTTTCACATAATTTATATCATTATTATTAGCTTACTTGGCAGAAGTAGAGTATGTGTAATTCTCTACACATGTGACTGGACATGCCCCTTGGTGCAATAGTGATTTTTGGATAAAAAAAAAAAAGAAAGAATTTACTAATTCACAGTAATAGAGCTGCAATTGACTAATTACTTCTTTGTGGGCTTTATGTTTGTTTTGCAAAAGGGATGGTTGCTTAGTAGATTATAATTTGTTACATTCTGTTAGATTTTAGAAAATGAATTAAATTTGTGAATTCAATTGGTACATTCAATTAATGATTTTAAAAAGTGAGTTGAATTATTTTGCACTGAAAGGAAATTTCATTATATGCACAGCATTCCTAGTGAAGGATAAAGATTTGTCACAAAGTTTGCTTTTAAAGAATGTTAAATTTATTTGGTTTTATAGAAACAAATAATAATTAGTTAAGAAAAACTAAGTTAAAATGAGAGCTTTGGACTTTAAAAAACCAAATTGAGTTTTAAGATTTGTCTATTATTATATTACTTCAATATTATGTTTTTCTTTTCAACTGGCGTTTCATTTAAAAATATGGAATTTTTAGTGTGTTTATATAGAACTCTGATTATTATTATTTTTTTCTTTATTTTAAAGATGTGGGGTACAATACAGGGTTAGGTATATAAATGTTCATTAAGCAGGTACCCTTGTTGATGAGGTGTGCTTCTCCCTCCCCTGGCAGTTTCCCTAACTGCCAATCCCACCCTCCCTCCCCTAGCAGTTTCCCACTACTGCCAATCCCTTTCCTACAGTATTATGATAGTTGTTCAAGGTTCGCTTATGAGTGAGAACATATGGTACTCTATTCTTTGTTTCTGTGATAGATCACTGAATATGATAGACTGTAAATTCATTCAAGTTACTGCAAAGTCCATATGTTTGTCCTTCTTTATGGCTGTATAATATTCCATTGTGCACATGTGCCAATTTTTTTTTTTAATCCAGCCCAGCTTCAATGGGCAGCATGGTTGGTTTTATGTATTTGCTATTGTGAATAGAGCTGCAACAAATATACATATCTTTTTGGTAGAATGACTTGAGTTCCTCTGGGTATATTCCCAAAAGCGGGATTACTGGGTCAAATGGAAGGTCAATTTCTAGTTCTTTCAGAAATTGCCACATTGTCTTCTAAAAAGATTGTACTAGTTTGCATTCGCATCAGCAGTGGAGAAGTGTTTCTTTTTCTCCGCATATGTGCCAGCATCTGTTGTTGTTTGTTTTATTAATGATGGCTATTCTTACTGGATTTAGGTGGTATTCAATGTGGTTTTGATTTGCATTTCTCTGATGATGAGTGAGGCTGAGCACTCTTTCATGTGTCTGTTGGCTGCCCATATATCTTCTTTTGAAAAGTGTCTATTCATGTCTTTTGCTCACTTTTTAGTGGGGCTGTTTGTTTTTTACCTTTTGGCACGTTTGAGTTCCTTGTAGATCCTACATGTTAGGCCTTTGTCAGATATACAGTTGGCAAATGTTTTTTCCTATTCTGTGGGCTGTCTCCCTACTCTCTTGATGGTTTCTTTTGCTTTGCAGAAGCTTGTCAGTTTGATGAGGTCCCACTTGCCTATCTTATCTCTTATGGCATGGGCACTTGGGGTTTTGATTGGGACTTGGTTTCCAGGGTGTCTCCTGCATTCTTATAGTCTGAGGTTTTACATTTAGGTCTTTGATCCATTTAGAGTTAATTTTTGTGTATGGTGATAGGCAGAGGTATGTTTCAATCATCTGCATGTGACCAGTCAGTTTTCCCAGCACCATTTGCTGAATAGGTTCTCTTCTCCCCAGTGGTTGTTGTTGGAGGCTTTGTCAAAGATGAGTTAGTTGAGGAATTGAGACTTTGCTTCTGGAATCTCTATCCTAGAACTCTGATTATTTATAAAACATACATCTTGTTTATAGTTTTAATATCAAAATTATCTTAAGGAGACACCATATAATCTTTGTTAATTAAACTTTCAAATTTGGAAACAGCTCTGTCGTAAACAATGGCTATACATTATTTGTCAGAAGTTGTGATACTTTCTATGAATTTTTTAAGAAAGCTGTTTATGTGGTAATATAACTTAAAAGTAAACCCTGAAAGTCACTACAGAATTTGAAATGATAAATTCTTTGTATTATTGAGTTACCACCCAGTTGAAAATTGCCACATCAGCAGTGGCTGTCTTCCTCACTCTGCTTTTTTTTTCTTTATTGAACTTTTGACTGCTGAATATTGTGAATCTGTTTCTTTGTCACTTGCTTCTTCCTACTATATAAAGCATGGAATTGTTTCCATTTACTGTTCTCACAGCTTAGAACAGTGTCTGACACATGGTGGGAACTTACCAAATATTTGGTGTATAAATGCATGAAACCCTTCTCATCCGACTTTAGTATGTTCTTTTCTGGTTCCTGAAATCTTTGTTCTATCTTCAACATTCTTTTAGACTGATAGTGCTAAATCATAGATTTTGATGTTATTTTCCTGCTTTAAACCCTCCACTGCCTACAGAATGTCCTCAATTTCTTAGCATAGTATAGTAGTCCCCCTTAATTTGCAGAGCATAAGTTCCAAGACATGTGCCTGAAACCTTGGATAGTACCAATCCCTGTATATACTTTTTTCTTATTCAAACATACCTAGGTTAAACTTTAATTCATAAATTAGGAACAGTAAGAGATTAACAACAATAGCTAATAACAAAATTAAAAAATAAGAATATACTATAATAAAATTACCAGCATTACTACTCTTGGCTTTGTGGCATTATTAAGTAAAATAAAGGTGACTTGAACCTAAGCACTGCCATGCCCTGACAATTAGTCTGCTAACCAAGAAGGCTGCATCGTGTAATGACAGGTAGTGTATACCAGCAGTCCCCAACCTTTTTGGCATCAAGAACCAGTTTCTTGGAAGACAGTTTTTCCATGGACTGGGAAACGAGATGGTTTCTAAATGATTCAAGTCCATAACATTTGTTGTATAATTTATTTCTGTTATTATTACACTGTAATATATAATGAAATAATTCTACAACTCACCATTTTAAAAAAGGTGCTGACAGAAGTGTTAAGTAAAATAATGGGTGGGCTATGTGCAGACTAAAATAAGTGTTGGATTCTGACTTAAAGTCTGCCATATGATACACCTGCATGACTGAAATACATCAACTCATTTGCCACTCACTGATAGGGTTTTGATGACTCTGCAAGCAATTGATTTATTATGGTCTCTGTGTAGTCAAACCTCACTGCTAATGTTAATCTATATTTGCAACCACTCCCCAGTACTAGCATCACCACCTCAGCTCCACCTCAGATCATCAGTTATTAGATTCTTATAAGCAGCATGCAACTTAGATCCTGCCCATGTGCAGTTAACAATAGGGTTCTTGTTCCTATGAGAATCAAATACTGCAGGTGATCTGACAGAGGTAGAGCTCATGTGGTAATGTGAGTGATGGGGAGTAACTGTAAATACAGATAAAGCTTTGTTCACCCACCTGCCACTCACCTCCTTCTGTGCAGCTCAGTTCCTAACAGATCATACACTGGTACCTGTCTGCAACCCAGGAGTAGGGGACCCCTGGTATATGCAATATGGATACACTGGACAAAGGGATTCAACATGACCCAGGTAGGGTGGAGTAGAATAGTGTGAGATTTCATCATGCTACTCAGAATGATGTGCAATTTAAAATGTCTGAATTATTTATTCCTGGAGTATTCCATTTAATATTTTTGGACCTCAGTTGATCATGGTTAACTGAAACTGCAGAAAATGAAACTATGGATAAGGGGAGGTCTACTGTATATACAATCCTCCGTGACTGGCCTTTCCTGGGCATCTATCCCACTAAACAACCTAATAGAGATGTCCCAACTATTGACCCATCTGTGTTTGTATTTTTAGAAATATAATCATTGTTTTTATGTATGCTGTTCCTTCCACCTTTTTTTCCTCTTATCTGATTGGTGTTATACTTCCTGCTTTTAAAATGTTTTCTTTCACTCCCTCTTATATGACCTTACCATTCCTTGAATAAAAGTCTCTGTTTAAACCTCATTGCACTTTAATTGCAATTTGTTGTCTATTTGTTTCATTTAGTTAGACCTCTGAACATCTTGATAAAAAGAATATTGTATTTATTTATTTATTTATTTATTCCCCATACCTAACACATTGTCTGATGATGGTCTATAAATGTTTGTAGAATGAAGAAATAGTACTTTACATATGAACACAAATGTCCAGAAGTGACATGATACATGCCAAACATTGTGCTGTTAGGAATCGTAAACGGTTGTACCGCTATTGGACTGGCCCCCATGTTTCCTGGTTCTCTCAGTCTACTGTACAATAATGTATAAATATATAATAAATTTGGGTTTTTAATAAAACATCTTTTTGTTTCTTTACCTACAGATATTGATGATGTTAAGAAGTTCAAACCAGGCTACCTAGAAGCTACTCTTAATTGGTTTAGATTATATAAGGTGCCAGAAGGAAAACCAGAAAACCAGTTTGCTTTTAATGGCGAATTCAAAAACAAGGTGAAAATGAGAATATTTGTTTTAATATGTACCTTCTGATACTTGTACAATGCTTGTTTCACTTGGGAGATTCCCTATGTGAACATTTGTATGTAGCATGATAAGAAAAACACTTTTTACTGAGTTCCATATTTAAGGACACTATTTTTGTTATTTAAATTTTTTCAAGAAACCTCTCTTAAGTGAACCAACAAGGCTGAAAAATATCTGTTGTCATCTATTTATCTATCTGTAGTTCTCAGAAAATGTAGGATTTCCATGATAAATTTAATTTTGCAAATTTTGATAGAAAACATCTCCATTTGCTACTAAATGTTTTGGGAAGAAGAAAATTACTTGTCCTTTATGTAAATCCATTGGGGCTCCAACTTACTTCTTAGTAAGTGTTCATTCTACCATAACTGAATTAAGCTGCTCAACAATTAAGAAGGCACTTGAATTATCTTACTGTCATAAAACTTTTCTGTTAGAATACCACAAAGTTACCATGATGTGTCTCTAATGTGACACAAATGGAGAAAATAAGCCAAGGAGTTAAACTCTAAAACATGAAAAATTTTGAAGTTATTACCACTATGTAAATTGCATATTCTAAACTAACTTAAGTAGATACCAGTATGTATGCCTTGTAAGTAAATTAAGGCATATTAATGAAAACTTAAAATTTACGATAAATGTTTTGCTATACAAGAATTAATGGCTGAACCCAGAATTTTTCAAAAGGCACATTAAAAGAACCCTTCATATCTTGAGGGCTTTGTCTAGGGTTATTAAATAAAAATACGAAACTTATTTTAGACTGAATTCTTTCTTAAAAATAAAATATTGAAATTTTGTACAATAAATTATGTTTTACTTTTCTTAAAAAAATATGTTGTATTTTATTCTTCAAACAATACAGATTTCAAGTATATATAGTACCTCTGTGGCCCCTTATTGCCTCATGGTAAACATTTGCTAAGTCATGAATTCATAAAGCATGAAGTCGTTTTTGACAAACATTCAACTTTTTCTGTATGAAGATGAGTTCATCTATACAACCTCTTTAGAAAATAATCATTTTATGCATTGCTAATTTTTTACCACCTCTTGTTTAAAATATAGAGCCTGACATAGTTCATTTAATGTTGCTATAAAGGAGTATCTGAGTCTGAGTACTTTATAAAGAAAAGAGGTATATTTGACTCACAGTTCTGCAAGCTGTACAAAAAGCCTGGCACTGGTGTCTGCTTGGCTTCTGGTGAGTTCCTCAGGATCCTTCCACTCATGTTGGAAGACAAAGGGGAGCCTGCATGTGCAGAGATCACAGGAGAGTGAGGAAGCAAGAGAAAGGAGCGGGAGATGCCAGTCTCTTTCTAACTAGCTCTAGTGGGAGCTAACATTCCCGAGAGATCCACCTCCATGACCCAAAAACTTCACACCACGCCCTACCTATAAACATTGGATCAAATTTCAACATGAGGTTTGGATGGGACAAACATCTAAACTATAGCGGAGCATAACTCGAGATAATTAAATTGTGCCTCTTTAACATGGTCGAAAAGATGGCTTTCATCTTCTATTCTAGATTTTTCCTCCTGCTCTTTTAAGCAAGCACTTGGAATTGGTTCTGAGTAACCACATTTACCTGAATATTTTGGTTAAAAATATTTCCTTGTATTATTTAGATAAGAAATTCGATTTCTTGTTCCATATCTTAAGTGAGACTCCCCAACACTCATTGAACATTAAGCCATTCCATAGCAACATCAGACTGTAGAGAACTTTTCAGAGGTTAAATTTCCCATAATTACTACATCTCAGTTCCCAATATTTCTTACCATCTTCATTACTGTGCTTAGTCATTATTTAAGGAGAAAGGAGCTAGTATGAATTAACTAGTAAGGACTCTCTTTAAGGAAAACAACATTTTGGAGGGAAAAAATTCTAAAGAACTTCCTACTTTGGAATAATAAAACAGGTTTGCCTTGGTTGTTCTTATTAGATTTATATTATCTATTGTTGATTATGCATTTTTAGACACCATATGGGTTAGTACTAAGAAAACATTTTGAAAATGTTAAGGAAGTTTACTACTTTCAGAGAGTGGATGGTCTAAATTAATTTGCAATTAGACTGCTTGCAGTTTTGATGATGATGAAATTAGTAAGTACATGCTTACCTACAGGCCAGGTAGTGGCCTAAACACTTTACGTGCATCATCTTATTTATTCTTTCAGTGCCTCTATGATTTAGATCAGGGGCTGGCAAACTTTTTTCTTTAAATGACCATATAATTAATTCTTTAGGCTTTGCAGGTTGTATGGTTTCTGTCACAACTACTCAACTTTGCTATTGTAGCAGCCATAGACCAAATGTAAACATGTGATTATATTAAATAAAACTTTATTTACAAAAATATATGGGTCAGCCGGATCTGCCCCACAGGCCCTAGTTTGCCAGCACCTGATATAGATTTTTTCCCATTATAATCCACTTTATAAATGAAGAAACTGAGGCTTTGTGAGGTTAAGTAACTTGCCTAAAGTCTCACAGCTGGTAAATAAGGAATTTATGCTGAGGTTTGCCTGACTCCAGAGCTCATGCTATTAACAATTAACTGTCATGTAAGATTAGTATTATGTTAGTATAACAATGCTGTATCTTATTTTTCTTCTTCTTCTTTTTTTTTTTGAGCTAGGCTTTTGCTCTTGAAGTTATTAAATCCACTCATGAATGTTGGAAAGCACTGCTTATGAAGAATTGTAATAGAGGGACTATAAATTGGTAAGAGTTGAGTTTGTCTTTTTTATATAAGTAACTTTATGTCATTATTGGTACTAAACAGTCATATAATACTACTCAGATTTCAGATTTTCTTTTGAAAAATGGAATTGCAGGGTTTTTTTTTTCTCATTTAAGAAATATAGAATGCCTGTTCGTTGGGCATTGCCAAGTGCTGGACACTATGAAGCTAGGACTCGACATGCTCCTTTTTCAAGGGATTTATAGTTTAGCGGGGATACTGACAAGTAGAGAGCCATCTAATTGTAATACACAGTGATCTGTGCAATGATAGGTTAGAAAACAGCAGTTTTTCCACAAGCAAATATATGGTTACTAAGTTTTTAAGAACTACCACATTATTTCTTCATAAGAAGTAAAAATCTTTTTATCCAACATGATCTGGATCTTTAGCTGATTGAGAGGAATCAAACAATAGTTATATAAATCAAACACTTTATTTTAATTTAAAACATTTAAATGTATATTCATTCACTCATCTTTGAATATAGGGCTGAGCCCTTTTCTGTGTAGATTCCATGTAGATTTTCTGTATGTATGCTAATATAGGATAGAATAGGAAATATTCTCTAATCCTAAAACTCCATATAACTTATAATCCCTTACATTTTTTAGAGTTCTTTTTAAAAAGTATTTTGCAGTTATCCACACCACGTTTTTTAAATTTTTATTTTAAAGATATGAGCACAATTCAGGGTTAGGTATACAAACGGTCATTGTACAGGTAAAGTTTGAGCCTCACTCCCCACTTCACCTGGTTTGGGAGATCAGGTACCCTTATTGATGAAGCTCCATTCTCTCCCCAGCACACCAAATTTAACACCGAGTTTTTGTAGTGATTTGCCTTTTTGGGGGGTTTTTAGAGCCTCAGTGTTATTTATAGACTCAATAGTTTGAGAGTCTACTTAGTGTTCATACAACAGTTCTCTTTCCACACTCTTTTAATCTAAAAATTTAATTGCTACTTAATCATGAAACTATTGTGACGAGTGCAACTGATATAAACAGGCTTGGGAACAAAAACAACTGACTCTGGGTAAGTCGAGCTGTAGGAAGCAAAGTTACATCATTCTGGAGAGCAGAGCACTACCCAGCTTTATTGTTCCCTTCTCTGAATCAGGAGAAATTCAGAAGCCATTCTTCCTTTCAACAAATACTGATTAAGAGTCTACTGCCAAGTACTGTGCTGATACTAGGGATGTTCCTGTGAATATGATAAAAGTACTTGCCCTCTGAGCATAGTCTGGACTCAAGAGAGACTTTAAAGAAATCATTAAAATGAAGCAATCAGATGTAGTAAATAATTATTTAGTCTAAAGGAATATTTTATCCAAGTCACTGAAAAGGCTTATATATCCTGTAATACAAATATTTGGGCATTACAGCTTCAGATTCAGGGTTAGGTATATAAATAGTGCAGGTACCCTTGTTGATGAGGGGCAAAGATGCCCCTCCATCCCCTAGTAGTTTCTCTCAACTACCAATCCCACCCCCCTCCCCTGAGGTTTCCCACTACTGCCAATCGCTTTCTTATAGCATTATAATTGTTCAAGGTCTGTTTATGAGTGAAAACATATGGAACTCTGTTGTTTGTTTCTGTGATAAATCACTGAGTATGATTGATCCAAATCCATTCAAGTTGCTGCAAAGTCCATATATTTGTCCTTCTTTAAGGCTGCATAATATTCTGTTGTATATATGTACCATATTTTTTTATCCAGCCCAGCTTCGATGGGCAATACAGTTGGTTCCATATTTTTGCTATTGTGAATAGAGCTGCAACAAACATACATGTGCAGGTATCTTTTTTTGCAGAATGATTTGAGTTCCTCCAGATATATTCCCAATAGGGGAATTGCTGGGTCATATGGAAGATCAATTTCTAATTCATTCAGAAATCACCACACTGTCTTCCAAAGAGGTTGTACTAGTTTGCATTCCCACCAGCAGTGTAGAAGTGTTCCTTTTTCTCCACCTCGCCAGCATCTGTTTTTGTTTGTTTTATTAATGATGGCCATTCTTACTGGGGCTAGGTGGTATCTCAATGTGGTTTTGATTTGCATTTCTCTGATGATGAGTGAGACTGAGCACTTTTTCATGTGTCTGTTGGCTGCCCATATATCTTCTTTGGAGAAGTGTCTATTCATGTCTTTTGCCTACTTTTTAAGGGACTGCTTGTTTTTTTTCTTTTGGCATGGTTGATTTCCTTGTAGATCCTAGATGTTAGTTAGGCCTTTGTCAGTTATACACTTGGCAGCCCACATTCTCTGGGTTGTCTCCCTAATCTCTTGATGACTTCTTTTGCTTTGCAGAAGCTCATTAATTTTGATGAGGTCCCACTTGTCTATCTTATTTCTTAAGGTATTGGCCTTTAGAGTTATGAATAGGAATTGGTTCCAAGTTCCAATTTCTATAAGGGTGTCTCCTGCGTTTTCAAAGATTCTTATAGTTTGAGGTTTTACATTCAGGTCTTTGATCCATTTGGAGTTAATTTTTGTGTATAGTGATAGGTAGGGTTCCTGTTTCATTCAATCTTCTGCATGTGGTCAGCCAGGTTTCACAGAACCATTTTCTGAATAGGTTCTCCTTTCCCCATTGGTTGTTGTTGGAGGCTTTGTCAAAGAGTTTGTTGAGAAATTGAGGCTTTGCTTCTGGAATCTCTATCCTGTTCCATTGGTCTCTGTGCCTGTTCGTATACCAATACCAAGCTGTTTTGATTACTGTAGCCTTATAGTACAGTTTGAAGTCTGGAAGTGTGATACCTCCTACTTCGTTTCTTTTGCTAAGGATTGTTTTGGTTATTTATGGTCGTTTATGTTTCCATATGAATTTCTGTATTGTCATTTCTAGGTCTGAGAAGAATGATGTTGGTAACTTAATGGGTATTGCATTGAATCTGTAGATTGCCTTTGGTAGGGTGGACATCTTAACAATATTGATTCTTCCTAATCATGAGCATGGAATATTTTTCCATTTGTTTGTGCCTTCTTGGATTTCTTTAAGCAGTGCTTTGTAATTCTCATTGTAAAGGTCTTTCACTTCTCTGGTTAGGAAGAAGTTGAGGTATCTCATTTTTTTGGTGGCTATTGTGTATGGGATTGTGCTTTTTATTTGGATCTCTGCCTGTTTGGTGTTGGTGTATAGGAATGCAATGATCTTTTGCACATTTATTTTGTACCCTGAGACTTTGCCAAGTCCTTTATCAGTGCAAGCGTGTTTTTGACAGATTCTCTTAGATTTTCAAGTTATAGGATCATATCATCAGCAAAGAGGATAACTTGACTTCTTCTTTTCCTATTTGGATACCCCTGATTTCCTTCTCTGGTCTAATTGCCTGAGCTAGGACTTCCAATACAATATTGAACAAGAGGGGTGAGAGTGACAGCCTTGTCTTGTTCCAGTTTTCAGGGGAAATGATTCTAGTTTCTTTCCATTTAGCAATAGTTTAACTGTGGGTTTGTTGTAGATAGCACTTACTATTTTGAGGTATGTTCCTTCTATACCTAGGTGTTTGAGGGTTTTTATCAAGAAGGGATGCTGGATTTTGTCAAAAGTTTTTTCTGCTTCTAAAGAGATAATCATGTGGTTCTTGTTTTTACATCTGTTGATGTATTTAATGACATTTATGGTCTTGCGAGTGTTGAACCAGCCCTGCATCCTGGGGATGGAGCCTATTTGGTCATGATGGCTGATTTTTGAGATGTGTTTTTGGATACGATTTGCTAGAATCTTCTTGAGGATTTTTGCTTCTATGTTCATAAGGGATATTGTCCTGTGTTCTCTTTCTTTGTTGGATCTTTACCCAGTTTGGGTGTCAGTGTAATGTTAGCTTTGTAAAATGATTTGGGGAGAATTCCATCTTTCTCAATTGCCTGGAACTTTCAATAGAGTTGGTATCAGCTCTTCCTTGGATGTTTTGTAGAATTCTGCTGGAAAGCCATCTGGTCCAGGGTTTTTTTTTTGTAGGTAATTTTCGTACGACAGAGTTAATTTCCTGGGTTTTTATTGGTGTGTTTAGTGTCTTGATGTCTTCTTGTGTTAACCTGGGGAGGTTGAATGATGTCAGAAAGTCCTCCATTTCATCTAGACTATCAAGTTTGTTTCCATATAGGTGTACATTGTAATTTCTGATAATCTTTTGTATTTCTTCAGGGGCAGTTGTGATTTGATCCTTTGTATTTCTGATTGTGTTTATTTGGGCTTTTTCTCTCTTTTTCTTGGTCAGTCTGGCTAGGGAACCATCAGTCTTGTTAATTCTTTCAGAGAACCAGCGTTTTGTTGATGTTTTCTAAGATACTTTTGTCTTCTCTGTCCCGTATTTGGGCTCTTATTTTTGTGATTTGGATTCTTCTACTAAAGTTGGGGTTTTGGTAGTCTTCTCTTTCCAGCACCCTTTTGTGATTTGTTAGGCTCTCCACTTTTGATCTTTCCATTTTCTTGATGTGTGTTGTAGAGATATGAACTCCTCTCTTAGAACTGATTTCATAGCATCCCAGAGGTTTTGGTGAGGAATTTCTTCATGTTCATTTGTTTCCAGGAATCTTTTGATTTCTTCTTTGATTTCAGTGTTGGCTCAGTCGTTGTTCAGCTTCATGCTGTTTAGTGTCCATGCCTTTGTGGGCTTTGGGGAAATGTTGTTGGTTTTGATATATATTTTTATTCCACTGTTGTGTGAGTATGTGCATGGCAAGATTTCAACCTCATGTAATTTGTTTATGCTTGATTTATGACCAAGGATGTGATTGATCTTGGAATACGTTCCATGTGGTGATGAGTAGAATGTATATTTTGTGGTTGTTGGGTGGATTAATCTGTAGTTATCTATTAAGTCCATTTGGTCAAGTGTCAAGTTTAGATTCTGGATCCTTGTTGATGATCTGTTTAGGCCTGTCAGTGGGGTATTCAAGACTCCTACCATAATAGAGTCAATATCTTTGTTTAGTTTATTTAGTAGTTGCTTTACAAATGCTGGTGCTCCTGTG